CCTTGCCAATTATCTGCAGATAGCAACTCTTCTTGGAGAACAGTTTTTGGCTTGCTACTGTGCTTTAGTGAGACGGAACCCTTAACCATTGGCTACCATGGGATGGAGCTGCCAATCAGGAACTGGTGGGTTAGACAAAATGATGTGTATATAAAGTTGGGAGTGCACAGTGGTACTCATTGTCAAATGAAAGTGGCATATATAAGATTGGCTCCAGCAGGCCCTAAAGACAAGAGTAAATTGTATGAGAAAGGGTCCCAGATGCCCATGGTCCCTACTCCTGCTACATGACCTTCTTTCTCCCATCCTCTTTCCTCATAGAAAGTTCCTTATGATCAGTTGATTGAGGAAGAGAAAACTTGGGTCTGGTTTATAGAAAAAAAAACTTGGTCCGGTTTTTTCTGCACAATACATGTATCTACCTAAAAGTGAGGAGCTGCAGTTCTACAAACCCCTCGAGGACATCCCTGAAGGACAGTGATGAAGAGAAATACCCGCAGTGGACAGAATTACAAGCAGTGCACTTGGTTGTTCATTTTGCTTGAAAGGAGAAATGGCCAGAGATATGAATCTGGCCATCAGGCTATGGCCCATGATTTGGCTGAATGGAATCAGAAGGGACATAATTGGAAAGTTGGTGACAAGAAGATCTAGGGAAGAGATGCAAGGATAGAGGTATACGGGCAAACGACGTGAAGATATTTGTGTCTCATGTGAATGCTCATTAAAGGGTGACCTCGGTAGAGGATTTTAATAATCAAGTGGATAGGAGGACACGTTCTGTGGATATCAATCAACCTCTTTCTCCAGCCATCCCTGTCATTGTCCAGTGGGCTCATGAACAAAATGGCCATGGTGGCAGAAACCCAGCAATATAGACTTACATTCACCATGGCCAACCTGGCTACAACCACTGGAGAGTGCCCAACCTGCTGCCGCAGAGACCAACACTAGCCTCCTCTGCGGCACCATTCTCCAGGTAATCCGCCAGCTATGCGGCAGAAGGTTGATTACATTGGAACTCTTCCATCATGGAAGGGGCAGCCTTTTGATCTTAATGAAATAGACACTTACTCAGGATATGAATTTACCTTTCTTGCATACAGTGTTCCTGCCAAAACTACCATTCATGGACTTACAGAATGCTTACCACCATCGTGGTAATCCACATAGCACTGCTGCTTCTGACAGGGAACGAATGTGTGGTGATGGGCCCATGATCATGGAATTCACTGCTCTTGGCACAGTACATCCCTCATAAAGCCACTGACTTGACAGAACAGAAGAATGGCATTTTGGAAACAAGTTACAGGACAATTAGGTGGCAATACCTTACAGGACTGGGGCAGTGTCCTCCAGGAAGCTATATATGGTCTAAATACGCTGCTGTTTCTCCCATAGCCAAGTTTGCAGGCCCAGGAATCAAGGAGTGGGAATTTAGTGACACCACTATTACCCCAGTGATAGTAAAATTTTTACTACTTTAACCTCTGCTGGTAAGGAAGAATGCTTCCAGCTAGAAACACAGCAATGATCCCACTGAACTGGAAGTTGAGACTGCCATTCAGTCATTTTGGGCTCCTCAAGCTTCTGCATCAAAAGGCAAAGAAGAGAGTTACTGTGCTGTTGAAGTTACTGATTCTGATTGCCATGGGCAAACTGGTTTGTCACTGTACAATGGAAGTTAAGGAAAAGTAAATTTGAAATGCAGATGTCTTAGGGCATCTCTTAGCACTACTATGTCCTGTCACTAAAGCCAATGGGAGCCTGGCGTGGTGGCTTACGCCTGTAACCCTAGTACTTTGGGAGCCTGAGGTAGGCAGGTTACTTTTAAGTTAGGAGTTCAAGACCAGCCTGGCCAACATGGTGAAACCCTGTCTCTTAGTCAGGCATGGTGGTGTACACCTGTAGTCCCAGCTACTCGGGAGGCTGAGGCACGAGAATTTCTTGAACCCAAAAGGTGGAGGTTGCAGTGAGCTGAGATCATGTCACTTCACTCCAGCCTAGGCGACAGAGCAAGACTCTGTCTCCAAAAATAAAATAAAATAAGTGGGAAGCCACAATAAAATTCAAGCAAAGATTTGGTTCACCTTGCCAGACTTATTATCAGCTGAGATGCTTACTGACAGCCAGGTTAATATGGAATTGACAATGGAAGAAGATAACTATAAAAACCAACTAGTCACATGACCAGCTGCAGAAATGAGAATTGTAATAGTTATATTTCTTCCTCGTGTGTGTGTGTGTGTGTGTAACTAAATAGATAGATACCTAGGTCATCTGAGGGGGCCTTAGTCCCATCCATTGAAAAGCCTTAAAAGCAGAAGTGAAGTTCATTAAAGAAAGCACACTTGTGGACTACAACTTCCACATATTCCAAAGTTCCAGCCTGCCTTTCCAGGTTGTCCCTGAACCACCACAAAGATGGTGGAGCTGAGTCTCAGAATGCACTTAAAGCATCTCAAAGGAATTCAGAGGTGTGAAAGGAGCAGATGGAAGTGACAATTTAATGACCAAAGAGGGCCAAGCTCGGTGGCTTGTAATCCCAGCACTTTGGGAGGCCGAAGCAGGAAGATCACTGGAGCCCAGGAGTTCAAGACCAGCCTGGGCAACATGGTGAAATCTTGTCTCTAAAAAAATTTTTTATGTGTTTTTAATTATTTTTTAAAAATTTAACAGGTTCATAGAACCATGATTACCCACAAAGTATACTTCACACTGGAAAAACTTAAAATGCAAGATTACTTTCAGCCATTTCTTTCTTTTTATTTACAGTTTGTGTTCAATGCAAATCAATTCCATAACATAAGAAGTTACTATGAATCAAAGCATAAATACACAAACACAATATACAATTCAAAATAGAAGTACAGCATTCTGGAATGAAGCAAAAGAGTGTTCATTCACACACACAGTAACTTCAGATCCATTCGATCTGTTTGTTCCCATGTAGTCTTCTAAAGATGGAAAAAAATGACTGGTCATCAAGACTACTGTGGCCATATTAGATTACTGGAACATCTAAGCATCAGTGTGTGACCATGCGAACAAAAGACTTCAGGGAGTGTCAATTTTCAAAAAGGTTTCTGTGTGTCGAGGCAGTTGTAAAAGATTTACTGCAGAATCAAGCCCACTTTTAGGCTTAGGACCAGGTTCTAACTATCTAAAAATATTGACTGATAACAAAAAGTGTTCCAAATGTGGCTATTCTGATCCATAGTTGTTTTAAAAAAAAAAAAAGTATGTACAGGAAGAGTATAAAAGTTTTTGTGAATGAATGCAAATTAGCTTCCAGTCTTCACTTCCCAAATACTTGATTTACAGCTTTGGCTCTTTTACATTTTTGCCTTTTTATTTCCAAGATTTGTAATTTTACCTTCAAAATATCTTTTTTTTTTAATTGTAAAAAGTATTCAACATATGCAGAAATAAAAAGCATTTTGACAGCCTGGCATGATATCTCACATCTGTAATCCCAGCACTTTGGGAGGCTGAGGCAGGCAGATCACCTGAGGTCAGGAGTTTGAGACCAGCTTGGCAAACATGGTAAAATCCCGTCTCTACTAAAAATACAAAAATTAGCCAGGCGTGGTGGTGGGCGCTTATAATCTAAGCTACTTGGGAGGCTGAGGCAAGAGAATTGCTTGAGCCTGGGAGGCAGAGGTTGCATTGTGCTGAAATCACACCACTGTACTCCAGCCTGGGCAACAAAGCAAGACTCCATCTCGGAAAAATAATGATAATAAGCATTTTGAAATTAGTTGTGATCAATGCAATTCTACTCTTTAAAATCAGTAATAAATGAATGTAGTGCTCTTGTTGAACAGAAATAGGTGATAGGATATGCCTACCATTTGACTCTATATGGATAATCAAGAGTTACTCAGAATGCTTGGACCTGGGGGTAGATTCCAATTCATCACTGCCCTGGCACATGTCAATTACTGCATAAAAGGTCAAATGCAATGTCAAATCCAAAGCCTCAAGAGGAAAGTGAGTTCAGTTCCCAAGATAACAGTGATAGCTTAACAATGGAAAACTTCATCTAGAGTATATCAGCATTAAATTAGTGCTGTCGAAACAATACGTTGAGGAATTATGGTAACACCTGGAAGTTCCTTCTAATGTACATATAAATAGAATCATGGAAGCTTTCTATATTACCTGTTTTATGGCCTTATGGAATTAATGAACCAAATGAAAACTGAATCTCCATTCCACAATCACATCCTTTATTTCTATTCTTATTTTCAAGGAAGTGTCCATATTTCTTAACCCACATTCAAGGAAATCATGTCTTAACTATTTTGGATGTTTCCTCTCCTTCATCTTGTACATGAAACTCCAGCAGATTTAATATTGGCATCCATCATCTAGTCAAACCTCTCACATGTTCTTTAAACCAATAAATTTGGGATTCTCAACATTTTCTGTGTCAATAAAAGGTGTGGAATTAGTAGATTCGACGAAGACCTGTTTTTCCTTGCCACATTGGACTTCCAGACGCCATTTGGATTGGGTTTAGAAGATGGGGAAGTACAGATGTTTCTTGGCCTGAGTCTCTTAACAGTAGAGATGTAGAAGAGAGAGTGAGACCACGAAGAGACTGGCTGTTGACTGCAGGGCGCCACCAGCCGCCTTGGTGGTGGCATTAGCTGGACTTGGGGCAGCCGAAGTACTCTGGGAGGAGTTACTTGAAACTGTTACAACAGCTGTTTGATTGGAATAAATCTAAAATATATAAAAAGTAACAAGGATAAATTTCCACATCACAGCTACCTCCACATGCTCTAATATAAAATTAAAGTAGGTGATACATTCTTAGACTGTTCTCTTACCATTAGTCTCTTACCCACATCATTAAATTCTGAATTCTTGCTCAGCCCACCTAGGTCATTCACCTAGTTTCAAAACAAGCTAGGATGCCTCAAATGCCCAGTGGCAACAAGAACAAAAAAAAGTTATTCAATAACTTTAACTCCTGTTTTTATTTCTTTGCAAAGGAAAAAAGGACCAAGTTAACTAATTCAGTTTCTGAGATTATACCGACTTAATGGCATTGCAATAATGTCTATTTTCCCAGAAAAGGAGAGATTTTAAAGTTGTACAAAAAAGTACGGATTTTAAATACTGTAACGGAGATTTACGGAACTAGAATTAACTGGGTCACTGTCTATCCTGGATTTGCTAGGTAACTTACCCATATCCATTTAATACAGCCTTGGCAACTTTGCCTTTTCCTTAAGGGGGAATTGGACTCTTATCTACTCCCTTAAAATCTGAAATAATAACTCTTCTAAAAAATGGCCACAGTATTTGTGCTAAATTGAAAATGAATTTTTCCTTTAAGGCAGAATGACTTCAGGAAAACACCATGAAGTCGGGACGATTTCACAAAAGAGGACGAGAGGGTATGGTGTTAAGTTTCACAAACAGCAGCCTCACTGGTCACTAAGCTCAGTGCTGTGGCCAAGAATCAAGGTTCCCCCAGTGTCCCAGCGTCTGAGTGGCATCATTCACCACTGATTTTTCAAGCCACGAAATGCACAGTCCAGTAGGGCACGTGATAATCTCTCCTTTGTCATGGAACAAAGGCAGATCGGAGTTTTCAGCCCTCACTGCAAGGGAGGGTTTACAAGGGCTTCTGATTACAGGCGGGAGGGAGGACGTGGCACCAGGCAAGAGTCTGGGCCCCATGTACATTTGGCTGCCTATTAATCCAAAGATAAAGCCCTCCTACATCAGCACCAGCTCCTTTTGTTGTAAAACCCATAAGGTCATTAAACAAATATTGACTAAAGAAATATACAAATCCTATCCAAAATAGATTAGTGACAACAACAAAAAATCTTGATCAAGTCAAATTTATTTATTGGGCACCTACTGTGTGCAAGATTGAGTGTGTCCCATCAGGAAACAGCACTCCCAATAAAGGAAAGCATGGATGTGGTATTTACTTAAGACAGGGTGCCTGTATTGGAGACCTGATTTGGGAATCCCTGAAAGTAACCTGTTCTTTATTCACACAATGAGTTTTAGTGCAGCAGGTGATGTTTTCTTTTTAAAACCCAGTGTATTGATCCGATAATCTAAAGATCCTCTACACCAACAACAAATAATTTTTGTTTATTAAATCGACACTAAACAAAATTTTCTCTTCCAAGCCAGATTTATTCGCGTTATTAAAACTTCTCACTTAAAATGTTGGAGGAAAAAAAATCTGGTCCGAGAGGAGATGGGGAGGGGAGTGGAGGGAGCCGGTTTCTCCCGGCCGCGCCCCTCCCCCACCAAAGAATTGAGCAAGGCTCGGGAGCGCAGCGGACTGGGAGGAAGACAATAGGGTACGTTAACTCGGCCCGCGGTAAGGAAGAGCGCTCCACACTCTCAGGCTGCACTCCCAGGTAAGCCCAGACTTTGGATGCCTGGGGACGGCGGACCCAGCGCGCCCAACTTTTGGGGGAGAAGCCCCAGGGACAGTCCTCGATTTACCCCAACCGAAGGCGCTGGAGAGCGGTCAATGCCATGCTCCAAACCCGAACTGCCCCAAAGAAACGTACTTTCTTCGCCCCCGCCCCCGGCCCCGCCCCCACCGGGGTCTCCCAGTCCCCGGTCTCTCTCGCCCGCGTCCACCCTCGAGGCAGCGCTGCGCGGCCCCCGGTACCCGCACCCGGGGCGAGGTTCCCCGGATAGAGGGTCTGGGGAGACAGCGCTGGAAGCGACGACCCAGACAAAGCCTGGCGGGGATTCGGGACAGAATCGTCCCACCATGCTGCCTCCCCAGAACTAGCCAAACTGGGCTAAAATAACCTGGGGCTCCTAAGATGACAAGCGTTGGACGTGAAAGGTTGTACCGCAGAGAGCGCAACGTCAGGAGAGGGTCCCCGCCTCGACTTCAGCCCCAAACCTCCCGGGACTGGGGCTTATGATAGGACCGGATAACCAGAGCTTCCCCGGGATCCCCAAGCCAGCTCCGAGGGTGGAGGATGGGCGTGAGCCGCGCTTCCCGAAGCGGACTGTCGCCTCTCTTTGTGTAGAGCACTGGGAGCGCGAAGACACTCCTAGGGGAAAGCCGGTGCTCAGGGGACCCGCGACGACGTCTCACCGGAGCCTGAGCTCTCAAGGCGCTCTACCCTGCAGGCACCTCGGGCCCCTGGGTGAAAGTGGGCAGTAGGCACCTGGCTGCCTGGGAAGGGACAGCGTGGAGCCTGGGTGGGGCAGGGTCCTCCCAGCCCGCGCGCGGAGCTGCATTGTTCCCAGGGCCGTGGGAGGGGAGGGGGGATAGCATGCAAGGGAATGGAAAGTGGGGTCCACATGGCCCTCTCCCCGGTCAGCTAACCAAGATTCTCTCCCGCTCCCTGTCCGTGGCCCGAGGTAGGGGCGCAGGACGGTCCCCAGGGACCGGGTCCATACCCCCGCCCCCACCCTGGACACAGCCCTCGAGCCCCGCCGGGCGCCAGGGCCTCACCTGCGTGGGTAGGAGCAGTGCCAGCAGCAGCAGCCCCAGCCCGAGCCTGGCCACCATTGCTCTGCCCATGTCCCCTCCGTCGGTGCGCGGCGCGTCTCGCTGGATGTTGGGTGCTTGGAGAACCGCTGGCTCCCGGCGGGCGCAGGCAAGGTGGGGAGCGCGGCGAGCCGACGGGACCTTATATACCAGGACAGCCACAATAGCCGTGACGTGGCGCCGCCCGCCCACCCCGGCTCCCCTGCGCCGCCGCCCGCCGCCTCCCCGCCTTACCCGCCCCGCTCCAGGCTCCCCAGCGCCCCCTCCCCCGCAGCCGCCACCTCCGCAGGGGCCCTCGCGGACCGGGAGCCCCCCGGACGGCCACCGCTGCAGGTGGGCGGGAGCAGCCGGCTGCTGGTACCCGGCTGGTTTCCCCCGCCGGCTGCGGGCTGCAGGCAGCCTGGCACAGGCGCCAGCGACTCCCACACAGCACCAGGGGCGCACACGCGAGCCACACACGCCGCGCCGGGGGCCGGGCCCAAGTTTCCTTTGTTTCCCGGGACCTGCCATCTTACGCCCCAAAAGAAAAGTCCGCGCCTCCGCCGCGGCGGGGCAGCCGCTGGTCCCGGAGCAAGTGCGCTGCCACCCAGACTGCAAAATGCGCCCCGGGACCCGAGAGGGGCCGCGAATTCCAGTGCGGCCGCGTTGGGGGGCGGGCGCCGGGGCCCCTCGGGCGGAGTTATCTCTCTGCCCGCCGCAGAGGAAAGGGGAACGCGGCGGTCGTGGCTGGGACGCGGGCCGGACGCTCACCCTGGCCGACGGGACCCGGGCGCCGCCTAGCGCGAGCCCTTCCGGGAGGGTCGCGGGGCTCGCAGGCGGCGCCCGGGTCCTGGGCGATCTGCGCGCTCGGCCCAGCAGCCGCGCCCTCCCCGAAGCCCCTGCTTTGTTTTGTGAGCGCCTCGTGTCCGCCAGGCGCTGTGAGCTCAAGTGGGCGTCCCGGGTCCTCATCCTCCCAGGAGCTGGAGACCCGCTGCCTGACGCTGCAAACTGTGGGGTTTGGGTCCCCCGCGCTCCTGCCTGCGGCGGGAGAGGAGGAAACCGCCCACCCTGAAGGGACCCCCCTCTCTCCGGCCCTGAAGGCCCCACCGCCCTCCCCGCGCGGCTCCTACTCCTCTTCCCCGCCCTGTCCTACTCAGGGGGCGGGAACCTCCCTTCATGGCGGACCCGCTACACTTCACCTTCCCTTCCGAATTCCTGGGGACACACTTTTTCGGTCTCTGCTGCCAGTCATTCGTTTAAAGAGCAGAGCCGTTCGGGATAAAGCCGTTTACTTATCCGTAGTTGCCACGTGGCAATTTAATGAACTGGCACAAAGAGGAGATTCGTCATTACTCTTTAGATTTTGGTGGAATACTTTTGTCCTATCCATCCTGTTTTGAAAACTTTAAAGCATACGGCAAAAGCTGAAGGAATTTTACTGGTGGAGTATTTTGAGTTTAAATTTTAATTGCAAGGCTTAATCTTTTTATTGAAGGTTTAGCCCAGGTGTTTTTCAGTCTTTAAAGCAAACAGCAATGACTAAACCTAGAATGGTTGTAAATTTGTTTAAATTTCACTTTTGCAGAACACTCTCTCAGGATTTTTGGTTCAGTTTTTAATTGCAAGACAATCCTTTTATTTAAGGTTTAGCCCAAGCATTATTCGGTCTTTAAAGCAAAACCACAGAGTAGTGAGATTCTAAATTTGTTTAAATTTTACTTTGGCAGAATAGTCTCATTAAAACAAAGTAAGTTTCAGGGAAGCAAAGTGACAACGAAATCTGCAGTCGGTCTGTTGACTGAATCAGGACTGAATCGGTTTGTACCTTGAAGGTCAGCCACTTTAGCTCAGTAACTTTCCAATCACGTTTAGGATGTGCTTGGGAACACAAGAATTTCTGTCGAGCACCAGTGGACTTTCCTGTTTAATAGTGTAGCACATTATATGGAAATATTCCGGCCTGGCTTCGCCATTCCTCTTCCAAGGTGAAAAAATGGACTGTTTGTGACTCAGGAGTGCCGGGTTCCAAGGCTGGGCCCATAGTATGTCTTCCACAAGCTGCTTGTTGAGCTAACTGGTGGTATTCCTAGGATAAGAGCTTCTAGAGACAGACTGCCAGAGTTCAAACTGTGGCTCTGCTCATTTTGCTGGAGACAAAAAGCCTCAGTTCCTTCATCTATAAAATGGAGATAATAACATCATTACTAATTAGTTATTAAAGAGTTATTGTATATGTAAGTGTTAGAATACTGCCTGCCTCAGATTAGTAGCTCTCACTTCATTTTTGCTCTTCTACTGAAGGTGCCAAGAACCAGAAGGTAATTACCTTCTCTGCTGCTGTGTGATACATGAAAGAATATCAGCCTCCAAGTAATTCCCAGAACTGGCAAGGCACTCTGGATCTGTGCTTTGTGAACCATTTCAGAACCAGCAAATGAAACTGCACAATTAAAAGAGCAAAGCCCTTCACCTCTGCCCAGGAGTTCCCCAGGCATCCTATCAGGGGTGTTGTCCAGGACTTTGACAATTGGAGGCCCAACCCAGGTAGGAAACTTCTCTTTCCAGATCTCCTTCCAACCGTTTCCTATACAGCTAGAAACTCAAGAAAACTGCATGATTTTCCCTTTGGAGTTCTTTTGGTTTGTGATTCTTTCTTCCTATTTTTTATCCGCCTCTCCTGGTTTTTCATAGTTTGTTTGCTAATAAAGACTTAGCCACGGCTAGACATGGTGACTCACGCCTGTGATCCCAGCACTTTGGGAGGCTGAGGCAGGCAGATCGTGAGGTCAGGAGATTTAGACCATCCTGGCCAACATGGTGAAACCTCATCTCTACTAAAAATACAAAAATTTAGCCAGGTGTGGTGGCACAAGCCTGTAGTCCCAGCTACTCAGGAGGCTGAGGCAGGACAATCTCTGGAACCTGGGAGGTGGAGGTTGCAGTGAGCAGAGATCATGCCATTGCACTCCAGCCTGGGTGACAAAGCAAGACTCTGTCTCAAAAAAAAAAAAACTTAGCCAATAATAACTCATGTCACTCGACCAAATTGAGACTCTTAACCACTTATCCTGAACTTTTTGTTGAAAAACATGGCCAATTTCCATTTTGTACAGAAAGTGTGGCATAGAATGATTTTGAAACAGATCGATTGCATAAATTGATGTATGTGTGGAAAGTTGTAACTTTCAGTTTTCAAGAGAGAGCATGAAAACCCTCATTTGATGCTGGTTCTCTTCTGAGGAATACTGAGAGGGAGCAATGCCTACAATTTCTAAGTGCAGACCTGAGACCAGACTGGCACAGTACATAGTGGATTCTGGGGTCAGACCTGAATTTGAATCCCGCACCACCACTTTCTCTCTCTTTTTTTTTTTTAGACAGGGTCTCACTCCATCATCCAAGACAGAGTACAGTGGCTCACTGCAACTTTTGCCTCCCTGGTTCAAGCCATTCTCCTGCCTTAGACTCCCAAGAGGCTATGTCTTATCTACTCAATATCACTGCACCTGGCATGCAATCAGCATTTGCTGGTTGTTAGAGACAGAATATTTGTTCCTAGGTACCGCAAGGAATAATTAGTATTCAGACAAAAAGTTTTCTGCAGAAAGGGTACTGTTGGTCAGCCATCTTGCCACGAGAATACAGTGAACAAAGGAAAGGCAGGGCATATTTATTCCTTATGCATTGGGTCCTTACTGCTGTATCCTATCTTTGTTGTATCTAAACTGAGCCTGATTGGCTAACCACTTAAAACTTTCCTAAATCGGTAAAAGCAATGGAGAACAAAAGAAAAAGAAGAAGTCCATATAAGGAAGGCAGAGGAAGTTGCTTGCAAACAGACTTAGAAAAGTAATAACATAAATATCTTGGTTAAAGTATAAGGACATAGAATGTACTTATTCCTTTATATCTAACAGCTACATAGGATAGGGCTTAACAAAGAGTTACTAGCAAAAAGCAAGAAGGCTTTGAAGAAAGTTACTCTTTAAAACAGACTATTGCTGGGTGCAGTGGCTCACACCTGTAATCCCAACACTTTGGGAAGCTGAAGTGGGCTGATCATGAAGTCAGGTGTTCAAGACCAGCCTGACCAGCATGGTAAAACCCTGTCTCTACCAAAAATACAAAACATTAGCCAGGCATGTTGGTGCCCACCTATAGTCTCAGCTACTTGGGAGGCTGAGGCAGGAAAATAACTTCCACCCAGGAGCGGGAGGTTGCAGTGAGCTGAGATCGCACCACTGCACTCCAGCCTGGGGGACAGAGTGAGACTCCATCTCAAAAAAAAAAAAGAGACTTTTATTTCTAACATTTATTATTATTATTCTTTAACAAGAAGGGAAACTTTGAAGAGAAACTTTATTTTCTACACTGGTTGAATGGACTAATATTAAGGAAACAGGTTAATTTGCCTTTTAAGATAAATAATAAGTCCTATTTCTAGAGAAACAGAAGATGCAGGGGTTAATTAGTTGACATTTTTAGCACTTTTTGGCAAAATAGGTATGAAATATAATACAAATCTAACAAAGATATTCCTTCTGTGCTTTATGGCACAAATAGTGGCTGAAATAATCAGATATTTAACTTATTTATTGACTTTTTTTCTTTTTCTTTTTGAGAGTCTGTTACCCACAGTGGAGTGCAGTGGCATGATCTTGGCTTACAGCAACCTCCACCTCCAGGGTTCAAGCAATTCTCCTGAGTAGCTGGGACTACAGGCACCTGCCACCATGCCCAGCTAATTTTTGTATATTTAGTGGAGACGGGGTTTCACCATACTGGCCAGGACAGTCTCAAACTCCTGACCTCGTGATCCACCCACTTTGGTGTCCAAAGTGCTGGGATTATAGGCATGAGCCACCACTCCAGCCCAAATATTTAATTTAAATTCTGTTGTACAACATGATGCTATTCTTAGTTGTGTTCATTATACTCTTTTCCTTCTTTTTCATTTTTTCTTTTAGAAAGAATCTCGCTCTGTCACCCAGGTTGGAGTGCAGTGGCGCAATCTCAGCTCACTGCAACCTTCGCCTCCAGGTTCAAGCAATTCTCCTGCCTCAGCCTCCCAAGTAACTGGGATTACAGAGGCACGCTACCATGCCCGGCTAATTTTTGTACTTTTAGTACAGACGGGGTTTCACCATGTTGGTTAGGTTGGTCGCGACCTCCTGACCTCCTGATCCGCCTGCCTTTGCCTCCCAAAGTGCTGGGATTACAGGCGTGAGCCACCACATCCGGTCCTCTTTTCCCTCTTAATTCTGTGCCACCCTGCACTTGGTTGGCACTGAATATTTCCATTTGTGCTGGTCTTTTAGTCGAGCTTTGTTCTTTACTGCCAACCATGAGAAGGCAGCGAAGGTAACACGGTGGGTTTGTATTTCTTACTGATGAGGTCCGAGTTATATCAGCCGGTGGCGTCCCAGCCGGACTCTCTGTGTGGACGTGCTGCCCCCTGCTGGCCACGGGGACCCTCCGCGCTCACTGTCAGGAAAACAAAAACTCTTGTGCTGAATGTAAAAAGCCCTGCGTTTTTGAAGCCTTATAAAGCTAATAAACCAGGATGGTTTTCTTTAACTATTAGTTCCCTTTTCCCACTAAACCTCATTGAGACAAGAAAACAAATGTAAAGAGAAAAAATTGTGACTGTTTTCAGATGCAAATTGAGTAATGGGATGCTTACCTCTAAGCATCCTTGGCTGTTTGAAATAAAAGAAAGAAGCAACCCTGAATCTAGGCCACAATTTAAGTTTGGTGTCTCCCTTGTGTTGGCAAGGATGTAAGAAAAGTCTTTCTCATTGATGTTGATGGGATTATGGAAAGGAATTTGACATCTTTCGATATTAAAAATGCACATCATAGAAATTCTAATTTTAAGAATTTGACCTGGGCGAGTACAGTGGCTCAGGCCTGTAATACTACACCTGTAATCCAGCACTTTAGGAGGCTGAGGTGGGTGGCTCACCTGAGGTTAGGAGCTCGAGACAAGCCTGGCCAACATGGTGAAACCCTGTCTCTAACTAAAAATACAAAAATGAGCCAAGCGTGGTGGCACATGCCTGTAATCCCAGCTACTTGGGAGGTTAAGACAGGAGAATCACTTGAACCCAGGAAGCAGTGTTTGCAGTGGTGGTGATCATGCCACTGCATTCCAATCTGGGTGACAGAAATGAGACTCTGTCTCAAAAGACAAAGCAGAACAAAACAAATTTAACCTACAGAAAAACTTCTACAAATGCAGAATAATGTATGTTCCGGGATTTGCGGCAGTACTGTCGTATCATGAAGTATTATGCAGTCATTAAAAAGAGTAAAGGAACATGATTGATACTATAGGGGAAAACCCAAGATAAATTCTTAAGTGAAAAAAAGCAAGATACATAGCAGTGTGTACAATATGGCACTTCGTGTTTAAAAAACCAGAACTGGCCAGGGGTGGCTCACACCTGTAATCCCAGCACTTTGGGAGGCTGAGGCAGAAGGGTTGCTTGAGTCCAGGAGTTTGAGGCTGCAGTGAGCTTAAGTGGTGCCACTGCAACTCTGGCCTGGACACAGAACAAGACCCTGTCTCAATAAATACATAAATAATAAATTTTAAGAACAAAAAACAAAAACCTGACAGAGAAAGTATTTCCAAAGAGATACACAAGAAATTGATAGTCTCGGCCACTGAGGAGAGAAACTGAGTGTCCAGGGCACAGAAGAGTGAGATGCACTTTTCATTGTATGCTAGCTTATACCATCACTCATTCACAAATAAAATTATTTAAATAAGTTAATAAGTCAATATATTCTGTGGCCTTTACCTCCCCAACTCCCACAAAGCAAATCTGTTCAAAGCAACTCTCTCCAGCCCCCAGGGCCTCAGAATCACCCTCCTCCCATCACTGGCTAGTTCTCAAACAGAAATTTGAGTTTACCTCAATTCATCTGTCCTGTGACAACTGTGAGACCAAATTCTCTCAGTCCAGATGGCACACACGAAAAATCTTTCAGTAAAAGTGAAGAAAAATGAAGAACCCAGCTGCAGAAAAAATAATGAGAAATCACTTGGCATCGAATCAGTTTCCACAGCTTCTTCTTCCTTCTGGAGCCTGAAATCATAGAGGCTGTGAGGAAAGAAAGCCTCCGGTGGGCAGAGTTTGCCTCAGAGAATGGCCTGAGTTGGGTGGGCTCATCCCATGAAAAGCACCTTTCTAAGACCCCCTTGCCCCCGCCACCTCTGTGCAGGAGGCAGAGTCCAGGCCTAATTGGGGTAATTAAGTTCTAGCAGAAAAGAAATCCCACTTCTGCCTCCCAGAAAAGAGTCTTCAGAGCACAAAAGTGCTACGTCATTTGCCATTTGCAGGCAGACCCTGAATGATCCTTTGCTGGGAAATAATGAAATTGGAAGAGTGGAAAAGTGTATATATATGTTATACCCATATTATTTATAGTCTTATTTCCATGTCTATTTGTTTTCTCAAGTCTTTCGCCTTCTGTTGTGTTTAAAGAAGGAGCATCCCTTATGCTATGAGAGATTAGTAAGATTTTAAATGACCAGG